TGCCCCCGCCCCCGGCCGTCCGCAGTCCGCAGCCGAGCAGGAAATTTGTCCGGCCGGGTCTCACCGCTTCCTCGGCTGCGGATCTGACTCTGGCTCCTCGGCGGGGGCGGGGGCCCTGGAGCTGCGAGAAGCGGGGGCGACGCCTGGTGCCCGGCGCGGGGAGCGCACCCGGGGCTCCCGCCCTACCTGGGGCTCTTTCCAGGCGCGGTGGGGATAGGCCTGAGAACCTTGAAGCACCCTGGCACCCTGGACATTGGTTTACACAGGCTGGTGTCCCTTCGGAGGAAAACTAGGCCCTGCCCTTTTGCCTGGATCCAGGTGCGCATGGAGGGTGCCAAGGTGTGGCACCTAGAAGAGGGGAAAAAAGGCAAGGTTCTTTCTATCCAGCCTTGACCCTGGGCACCCGGAAGTTGACTGGTTGGGAACACGCTTCCGGTCTTGCAATTAGGACAGCGGAATGCAGAGCACCTCACACCACTTCTGGTTTGGTGAAGCTGGCTAAGCTGTGAAATCTCTTGAGCATGGTGTCCTCCCTATAAAGAGGAAATAAGGGTACCTGCTTGGTTGATGTTGAAGAGGCCTTAATTGTCATGAAGGCAATATCTGGTAAAGTTCAACACACACAAAGCAGAAGACGAACACTACAGGAAAGGGGCCTGGACCAGCGCTTCTTGGAGACTTCTTTCCACGTGGCTTCATTTTAACTATTCAGGGAGGTTTCTATGAAAAGAAAATGCTATAGGAGGGTCAGATATCTGCACATCTTAGCTCTAAGCCTTCCTGATGTGTCCTCTGGATTGGCCCAAGACCCAGCCCTCAAGAGGTGTCCCTCATGCAGTCTGTGGTTGTGACCTCACCCACAGGCTTGTGAATAAATGGTGAGAAAATGGTGCTTAGGGCGTGGGGCCCTCACTATGCACTGAGAGCCAGTTCTAGGAGTTGTCTAACTCTTAGAACACATGCAGCCTGTTCTGGACAGAGATGCAGACCACCAAACGGAAGAGCAATGGCCAGCTACTGGCTGACACCAAGCACAGTCAACCTGCCCAGAGTGTGACTTTCCTTCCACAGAGTGCAAAGAGCTGTGAAACCAGTGGAGAACATGAGTTCAACCTCCCTTCCCTGTCCTGCCCACACTCTCTCCTGGGGGTTTTGTTTAGGACTAGAGGTTTGAACACCATCTATACAGGAAAAAGGGCAACTTCTTGAGACATTTCTTCCAAGTTCAGCACCTTATGGTTGTCTTCCACCAGAGACTGATTTTACTCTCTTTGTCTCTGTCTCCACCTCCCACCTCTCTGTCTCCAGGTCCGTTTTCTGTCTAGCTTGTCAATGCATCTGGAAGGTACTCTCTTCTTGTTGTGTTCACTTCCCTGACCACTGTAGGGGGCCCCAACTTTAGACCCACTGTTTCTCAGATGACCCATTCTTCACTTATCATCCAGGGGGGCCCTTACGAAGTAGAAACCAGGTCATGCCAACTCTGTGCTTAGAAGACTCCATTCAGAATAAAACTCAAACTCCTGTGAGACTCTGCTTAACTTCCCCAACTGCTCCTCACCCCTTTTCATTCTGCTCCAACCATGGCCCCTTTCTCGTGGTGCCAAAGCCCAGCTCCTTCTTTCCTTCTCTTTGCACCAGACTCCTTCTTAGTGACGGCCTCTCAAAGAAGGCTTTGCACCTATCTCTTCTGCGACTCCTGCCCACCGTCCTATTACAGTTTGGAATTACTTATGGCCTGTCATCTGCTCTTCTCCCTGCCCCCGGGGCTGTAAGCCCCAGCAGCCCAGCTGTACCTGTCTCCATTTGTTCTTTATCTTGAGTTCCTAATGCAACCCTGATAGCCAGGAGGGGCTTCATGGAAGAGCAGGGGCTGGCAGAGAAGAGGATGAGCCCCAGGAGGGATCAGCAGGCAGACTTGTGGCCTTGGAGCCCAGCAGGTCAGGAAGCTCCCACCTGAGTGTGCCCTCAAGGAATGGCCCAGGTGGAGTGAGACCAAATAGCCCAGTGACATCATCCAGCTCTAGATTTTCCTGTTGTTATGGCTCGTAGAGCCAAGCTTATGTACATGAAGGGGATAATTTCAAAGCTCTGATAAGCACAGTTTTGCTTGTTAACACTGCAGGGCTGGGGAGGCAGACTGTGATCCAAGAAGAAAGAAACAAGTTGCCTTTGTCAGACATCTGCCATTGGAAAGTGAACAGCCTTGGTAACATGATGAGGAGGCAGATGGCTCTTCTCTCCCGGTAATATTCTCTCTGTGGGACCCTAAAGGTTCTTCTAAGAATTAAGCAATATTCCTTAACTTTTTCTAAAGTCTACAGATTTCATCATTGCCACACAAAAGCATGTTGGTGTGTTGTCAGAGGTGATTATGCCAGGATTCTGTTGATTCCCACAGAAAGCTCCTTGATCCTTCTATACCATTTGTATTCCACTTTTCTTTAGGCCCAAGGCCCCTGCTGATGTCAGAATCAATTCTTCTGTCCTCATCCTGGGATTCAAGGACCTCTCCTACCTCGATCCATTCTGAACACTTGACCTCTTCATCTTTTAGGACCTGGGACACAACCCTTTTAAGTTCAGAGCGTCCTCTTGGTCCTCCTTATGCACTACCTGTCTGAGCACACACAGAGCCATGCTATCTTGTCCTCTTGCCTCCTCTCTTCGATTCCTCCGCTACACCAAGCTGTGCAGCTACTTTCCTTCAAAACACAGTTGGAGGCAATGTTCCTGCCACTGTTAATGGTAGAAGTCCCCATTTTACTCAAAGACAGGGACTTTGGATTCCTCTGCATTAACTCAAACAATGCTCATCATGCTTAAAAAGCTCCATAGATGCCAATCAAAATTCAAGCAATGAGGCCAGAAATTCTGTCTAGAAGGATAAGCAAAAAAAAAAAAAAGGCAAAATCGATGTGTGAAAAGCAAAGAAGAATTTGCTTTCAAACATTATGCAAAAATATTAACATAAAATTATTCAATTTTAGGAGAAATAAGCAGGTCTTGATTAATTGGCTCTGGGTCAGGATTGGCAACAAAAAACTGAGACAACATTGGTGCTTAATGATTTTGTTCAGGAGCTGTCCTCACAGAGAGGTAACTCAGTCACAGTGGTTATCTTGATCTAGAATGTACTAGAATGAGTGACTCTAATTGGTCTGGAACTTTCTATTTTTACATTACCTGACTATTCTTTTCTCTCCCCCTCTTATCCCATTATGCTCAAGGATTTAGAATAATATTCACTGAAATCAAGAGGACCGACTCTTTGCTGGAGCATGTCTCTACTTGTCCAGAAAAAAAGAACTATTGTAACCTCCTCCAGATCCTCCCAACATTCAACATTTTCTCCTTAGATTACTTTTCGTTGATGATGCCAAAAAAAATTCAAAAAATGAGGCCAAAAATGCTGTATAAAAAGAAAAAAAAAAAAAAAAAAGGCAAAATCGATGTGTGAAAAGCAAAGAAGAATTTGCTTTCAAACATTATGCAAAAATATTAACATAAAATTATTCAATTTTAGGAGAAATAAGCAGGTCTTGATTAATTGGCTCTGGGTCAGGATTGGCAACAAAAAACTGAGACAACATTGGTGCTTAATGATTTTGTTCAGGAGCTGTCCTCACAGAGAGGTAACTCAGTCACAGTGGTTATCTTGATCTAGAATGTACTAGAATGAGTGACTCTAATTGGTCTGGAACTTTCTATTTTTACATTACCTGACTATTCTTTTCTCTCCCCCTCTTATCCCATTATGCTCAAGGATTTAGAATAATATTCACTGAAATCAAGAGGACCGACTCTTTGCTGGAGCATGTCTCTACTTGTCCAGAAAAAAAGAACTATTGTAACCTCCTCCAGATCCTCCCAACATTCAACATTTTCTCCTTAGATTACTTTTCGTTGATGAATAATATACATGTATTATAAATCCTAAAGGTAAAGTCCAATAAATAAAGATAAGTGCATAAAATATAAAAATGCATACCCCTATCAAGATAATGAACATCTCCATTACCCTAGAACATTCTCTCATGTCCTTTCCAAGAAAACGCCCCTACTTCCATCAAAGACAACTTTTACTATAGATAGTTTTGCCTGATCTATCAATAGATTTTTGTGTAAATAAAATTACATAGTATCTTTTTCTAGTTTCTTTCACCCAGAAAAATCTTTTTTTTTTTAATAAAATTTATTTACTTATGTGTCAGAGATAGAAAAAGAGAGAGACACTCCCAGTATCTTGACACCACAACCCTCTCCTAGCCTCAGCCAGCCGTGGATCATGGACACATGCATGTCCTACATACTAAGGGAGATCTCTAGTTAGGAACCCAGAACCTTCCCATGTGGGTCGGGCACATAGAGTGTGGTGTTTTACCACTGTGCCTCTCTGGTCAAACAAAGTTAGTTTAATATCCAGTCTTTATTGGCATGTCGACAGTTTAGATAAGTTATCTTTTAGATCTTTTAGGTTTTAGAGAAAACTTTTTAAGGAATTTGATTAAACTATATATACATATATACACATATGCATATATATGTGTGTGTATATATATATATATATATGTATATGTATACGTACTTGTTTTGTTTTGTTTTGCTTTTAGAGGTTTTTGCTATAGGGTGTGTGCGCTCGCCAGACAGACAGAGACAGAGAGACAGAAAGTGAGAAATCAACCCCCAGGGGGGATGGTCACACCGCAATCCCTTCTCCTCCATTCTCCTCTCGGGATCTTGGGCATGCACGCACATGCGCCCGGCGTGAGTTTTAAGTCACCAGGTTCGGGACGCAAACCACGGTCGACTACGTGGGAGTCCAGCGACATAGCCATTACGCTAACTGCTGGTCCCTTGTTTTTTTTGTTTT